GCTAACACGTTGTATTAATTGATTTACTTGTTACACTTGATGGTTTTTATCTAGAAACTGCATCTGTAATACTGTCTTGCCCAACAAAAAATTTATATCATACCTCTATTGTTCTCAGCCATTTTTAAATGTCATAAGACAAACAACCTTTAAGTTTTTCGTAACTCCTGTGTAATTTTTAATTATGTAACCAGTCGGTAAATTGTGCACACCGGTTTCACTAAATATTCATCTTATTTTCATCCTTGTCTAAATCTATATGCCTTTTTTTCTGTTTTTCTCGTACAGAGTTTATAAATCTTATGACATGTCAATCGAGATTTTTATCTCTCTACAGCTATTCCTGTGTAGGTGCTTGTAATAATTTGATCATGTCTTTATACGGACATACCTTTCATGTAACGTACAACTACTTGAAAGCAAATGTTTGCAATTAATACACCAAAGACCTACCGTCAATGGTTTTCTTTTGCAAAATTTGTTGATTATCATCCCAACATTCTCAACAACCTTATGAGGGTAGTATTCATTTTGCTGACTGTTTTGTACCATATTAATCATATCTATAAAAAATGTGTGTGCCTAATCTGTATAATATACATAAATATTAGTCTTTGCAAAGAAAATCCCAGAAAAATATAGAATTTTCCAAGGCCAAGTAAAAATAACAGTTGCTTGGATCCTCATAACTTTAAATCACATTTAAAGCTATGAGTAGCGTTTGAAACGAATGGTGCCGGGTTTGAGCCACAGAGTAAACATTAACTCTGGGATACAGGTATATTCAGGTGACGAGTCCCGAAGTGCGTCCTAGATTCCACTGTCAGCCACTGTTCATCTCTACTGATAATATAAAAACCTTTCATCAGTTAATACAAGTTTCACATATTTCGTTACTTTATTTAGTATGCATGAATCTAAAGTTGGTAAGGTTCAGTTAAGCACTCTCAATGATCCACATTAAAATGAAAACATAAACAATACAGTACATTCTTAGTTTAGAATAAAGTCCTGTTTAGGCTTAAGTGGCAGTAAATTATAATAAGTGAATTCGGAATTTATCTATGACAATCATTCAGTGGACCATTATATCTTAAATACATTATGTAAAATCATCTCATCTATATCTAACTAACTATGGTAGCGGTCAACCTACTTATAACCATCACTCTGCTGTAAAATGGTTCGTATACAGTTTTTCAAATCGAACAAATATATCTGTTTATTCATTACCACAAAAATAACCAAATATCAGTTGGTATAATTAAGTCAACAACTCCAAGGTACACTATTATACTTTATCTATATTATGCTGTGAAAGAATTTATATGAACCTATGCCAAAAGTCAAGTACAGTAATAAATATGCTGTTTTAATTCTCACGAAATTTCTTTAAACAAGTTGAAATTTTCTCCTTTTTATGCTGCTTAACTTCAAAGATAGAAAATGTAACTTAGTTTAGTTTACTAAGTTTTAAATTACACTTTTAATGTGATCCATAGTAATAATAACAATCAAGTATAGAATTCAAAATATGGAGTAGAAGTTCCATCTTGTTACAAATCGATTGAAAATCGATTTCATTATTCAATCAATCAATTCACAATCGATTGATTACTGGGTGGTGATCAATGTCATATGTGTCAGGTCGTTCTTAGTGTGGATCGAATCCTATCAACCAAGTTGCGATATGGCTAACAGTCTAGGTTACTCGACATTGAGTGCACTATGTTGAGATAAGATGGTGGTTGGAGATAGTCAACAAGAAACCCTGGACACGGGTTTTATGTTATTTGGCACTCGTCAGCAAGGTGTACCTGTAATCTTGAGAGAACTGGTGCTCCCTGACGGATTCAATTCTTTGTAACCTAGCTTCACAGTCAGAGACGATAGCATTCGATCTGCAATAAGAACGACCTGACACACATGACATTGATTACCACCAACCATTGATCAATCAATCGTAAATACATCTCAGTCCTACAGTAGGTCAGTCACGACCCGGATAGACCAGTGGTAACATCTTTGACTATGAAGCTGAGTAACACCTTGCTGACAAGTGCCAAACAGCACGAAACTCAGGTCCAGAGTTTCTTGTTGACTACCTCTAATCACCATCATATATCAATCAATCAATCAGTGATATACAAATTATAATTTTACTAATATGAACTATTGTGTATGGATTTATCTGAACTTAGATATATCCCGTTTAAAAAAATACTAATAAATAAATAGATAAAAATTAAAAATTAAGTTACCATATCAAAGATTATCTTTTATCTATAATTTTCATTTCAATAGAAACCAATATTTTATTATTTCTAGAAAAAAACTATCTTGATGGTGACCAGATAATGAAGTGTGAAGAAAATGTATTTTACGCATTAAAAACAGCAGAAGCGCTGCATATATGGGTGGACAAGAACAGCCTGAACCGAAAAGATGGTATTCAACTGGCAACTACCTGGCAAATTTCATTTGACAAGTAAAATTTGGAACCTATCTCTTGTTTAAACCTGTTTTTAATATCACATGCATCGTTATTATTATTGAAAGAATTCAATCAGTATTTTAAACAATACAATTTATTTTGGTGGTGTTTTGTTCTCTGAGCTGGATGGTTTGGTCGTGGAGCTTTCATGGTTCTTCTGAACGACATCATCAGCACAAACTTCAGATAGAAGTGAAGTGTTCGAATCCTTTTGTTGATTTTTGTGCTTGATTTGGGTTCTGATGCTGTGTGCCGTTGGTGCTTTTTGATGAAGTTGATTGGGTAGCCGTTCTTTTGAAATATGTCCTTCAGGTATTTCTCTTCATTTTTTCGTGCTGCCAGTGTGTTGCAGTGTGTCCTCGCCCTCTTGAACAATGTGTGTACGCAGTTGATTTTGTGAGCTCTTGGGTTGTTGCTGTTGTAATTGAGGATTTGATCTGTATGGGTCGGTTTCCTATATACTTGAGTTTCCAGTTTTCCTGTATCGGTTCTAGTGATCAATATATCCAAGAATGCTATTTGGTTGTTTGACTCCTGTTCCATTGTAAACTTGATGTCGTTGAAAACGTTGTTGATCAGTTTGTATGTGTTTTCCAGTTCATCCTTTTTGACGATGACAAAGGTGTCGTCTACGTAGCGAATCCAAATTTTTAGCTTGATCACTGGTAATATCGTTCCATTATTAAAAGTATACTGGAACTCATCGATTTATGCCTAACAACATATTTTCAATTCAACAACAAAATCTACGAACAAACAAAAGGGACACCAATGGGATCACCAATATCAGGACTGATCGCAGAAGCAGTGATGCAAAGACTAGAAGCCACGATATTACCAGTGATCAAGCTAAAAATTTGGATTCGCTACGTAGACGACACCTTTGTCATCGTCAAAAAGGATGAACTGGAAAACACATACAAACTGATCAACAACGTTTTCAACGACATCAAGTTTACAATGGAACAGGAGTCAAACAACCAAATAGCATTCTTGGATATATTGATCACTAGAACCGATACAGGAAAACTGGAAACTCAAGTATATAGGAAACCGACCCATACAGATCAAATCCTCAATTACAACAGCAACAACCCAAGAGCTCACAAAATCAACTGCGTACACACATTGTTCAAGAGGGCGAGGACACACTGCAACACACTGGCAGCACGAAAAAATGAAGAGAAATACCTGAAGGACATATTTCAAAAGAACGGCTACCCAATCAACTTCATCAAAAAGCACCAACGGCACACAGCATCAGAACCCAAATCAAGCACAAAAATCAACAAAAGGATCACCCTACCGTACATACAAGGAATATCAGAAACCACAACGAGACTGCTGAAAACCTTCGGGATAGGTGTGGCACACAAACCAACAAAATCATTACAATCAATCCTATGCAAACCAAAAGATGAAATAACAAAGGAAAACAAATCAAACATCATCTACAAAATAAATTGTACCAACTGCGACAAACACTACATCGGACAAAGCGGACGCCCCCTCCACCTACGCCTACATGAACATCAATTAGCAGTCAAACGCCATGATATCTCTTCACTTATATCAATACACGTGGATAACTACGGACATTCATTCGATTGGGAAAATGTAGAAATCTTAGACAGAGGAAACTCCAAAAACACCAGAGAATTTTTAGAAGCTTGGCACTCAGGTCAATCAGCAATCAACAAACATATTGAGATCAATCCAATTTATCAACCAATCAGGAAAATCATGCATAAATATAGGAACAAAAATCAAAACAATGGGAGACACAACCAAAACAAAGAAGTAAACAATGATAATTTAAGGTCAACAAGAACCAATCAACATCGAGGTGCACAGAACAAGCTGTGAAACACATATGGAGAAATTCGAACACTTCACTTCTATCTGAAGTTTGTGCTGATGATGTCGTTCAGAAGAACGATGAAAGCTCCACGACCAAACCATCCAGCTCAGAGAACAAAACACCACCAAAATCATCCACCTGAGCTACAAATCTTCTCCACCATCTCAAAATACAATTTATGTTTTGACATGTACATCGATATTTCATTATCAATTTTTCATCCTTGAACTTAAACTTTATTTATTCCTTCATATCAATCTCTCACACATACATACATACCTACACACTCACACATATACGATTTGTTACTCAGTTAAGTATTTCCATGTAGTTGAATTCTTCACATGATTTGTAGTTAACTGACTCATTTTATCCTATTTTACAAAAAATCAACATCCAAATATGATTGGTTTAACACTGTATAATCCTGATTGTTAAAAAGCTTTGATAATTTTGATTTTGATTATTACCCTGAAGAAGTCCAGACAAGTTAGCTAGACGAAACGTTGGAATGAGTTAAATTTCAATCACTGAGAATATTTCAAATATAATTTTCACATATAATGACTTCTCTATACTCGGCGCTCAATTACTGTCAAACTATTCGTTCTAATCTTGATGAATATTTGTATAAATTTAATGTATTTAGTTATTTATGTTTCTTTATTCAAAGTTAATGAATCATTTTAACCAACAACAGAATACATAAAAGATAAAAGAAAGTAAAATTAGAAGAAAACAGAAAAGAAACCATCGAATCAATAGTTTTTGACAAAAAAACAAATAAATAAAATCATAATCATTCACTTAGTAATAAGAAAATATCAATGTAAATATCGATTATAGGCAAATAACGATTTGTAATAATCATATAGATTGAATCTTTCTTTAAAAATCTGATTATAAATAGTAAATAGTTTTATTATTTTTTAAAAAAAAAAGTAAACAGATGATTGTTTAAATTAAAAAGATAAAGATTTCAATATTGTTTAAGCACAGATACAATGAATCAATCAATATTTTTTTTAAAGTAAACAATAAAATTTCGAAAGATAAAGAAACTTGATGGAAACTATCGTTCTTTTTTTCTTCCTTAAAAAATATGAGGAACTAGTTTTAAGTGTATTTTTGTTCTTTGATTTATTATGAATATATTTGTCATATATTTTATTATATTAGTTTTAGAATAAATTTAATTGTGTAGATGTAAGATATTGTTCTTTGAAAAAGTGAATATTTTCATTCAAGTGAATATATTACTTATATATTGTATGGAATCTCGAAGTATTTATTAACAAAACAAACTGTAATTCTTTCACTGTTATTCCGAATTACAAAATGTAAATAACATTCTTTCATTAAATCATTTATATCAAACAGCTTAGTAACAATACTAATAAAATGATGTAATATATTCAGACTGTAAAAAAAAACATTTTATACAATCTGTAATGAAGGTCATCAATTAATCTGTCTGATTTTCACTCGAATTGAACTAGTTAAAAAAATAATAATAATAAATAAAAATATATAATTTACTCATTATGTAATAATATAATCGGTGAGACTATAATTTATGGATGACCTTTGAGTAACGCTGGAATGACCTGGAGAGTAGACACCTCCTCCTGATTAGGATTAAATGAAGGTTATAAACCAGTTAGAATTTTCATTTATAGTTGATAGTTAGGGTTAAAACTTAGATTTAGGATTTTCATCAGGAACTGATATCAGCTATCCTGATAAAACTTTATTTCGTCAAATGTATCAATGAATTTCGTGCCAAACTTCGTGAATCATTATCTTATATCTGATTGGTTGATCCATAAATTATATTCTCGTCATATAATTTATATAGATTCCATAAATAAGTTAAATAGAAATGTTTTTGTTTTTTCTGAAGGTATTCTGTAAAAGAAAAGTCGATTGCCTATAATTTTAAATGATCACTTTATATCATTCATTATAATTTGAATTCAATTCATTATGATTTCTGTATGTTCAACAAGCTATACAATTATTGATTTTTTTAAAAAATGAATTAATTAAACAAATAAAAAGGAAATATTATATTACGTTTTTTTTAAAAAAGTGATATAGTTGCTAGGTATCTTACCATACTTATTTAAAAAATTTTTTTTTTTGAATTTATGTTTACATTGTTGATCAGTTTACACTAATCGTTCAGAGTGCAATTTTTTTTATGATGATCAGATAACTTCAAAACAAAAACAAAAAAGAAAAAGGAAACAAGAATATTACATTTTATATGTAGCTAAAGAGTTTATTTTTAAGAGAAAACTTACGATTTATTTAACATAATTTAGATTATATTTTCAATTCAAAGATCAAAAGTGATTCAAGGTATTAATTTAATATTTTCTATCAAAACGTATCGTTGTTAAATTAGCAATCTTTAATCTTATTACAATATAATGTTCATTAAGTTAAATAAGAATCACATGAAAAGGTAACTAAAGAATCTCACTGGTTGAAATCATGAGTCAATTAAAGCTAGATCATCATGGAAAACCTGGAAACACTGGACGGCCGCTTCGTCCTAGTATGGTACTCCTCTGCAGTGCGCATCCACGATCCCGCACCACGCGAGATCCAAACCCAGGGCTTTCAAGAGATACTCCCGAAGTTCTAGTGAGAAGCCGTTACCAGTGGAGTTCAACCACGTCTGTTGTGTGATATCAACTCATTGAAGACAATGGTGTGCGGTGGTGAAACTTCGTGGATTGGTTGAAGTTAGACATTAACACCGCTGGATGCCGACTCACCGGTTTAATGGTTAAGCGCGCGCACACGAGACTGATAAGTCGTTGGTTTGAATCTCGCGGGGTTCGAGATCGTGGATACACACTGCTGAGGAGTACCATACTAGGACGAAACGGCCGTTCAGTGCTTCCAGGTTTTCCATGGTGGTCTAGCTTCAATTGAGTCATGATTTCAACCAATGAAATTTTTAAAATCTGCACAAAACCCCTTCTGATAACTAAAGAATTATAATTCATAAATCGTAAAACAACCAATCAACAGATCTTATGATGGAAAAGGATGAAACCAACTGCTAACATTAAATTTATATATTTAAACAACTAGTTTATTCAACTGTCATACAAAACGTAATCCGGGAATCAATACGTAGTAAGTTCAGGGTGGTTAATTTTTTACTGAAAATAGTTTATAAAGAATTAAATTACGGTTGTTCTAAAAATAAACGAATACAATACTGTTTAGAGTAAAGCCGAAAATTGCTTGACAATACTGCATTACAAGTCAGCTGATATTTAGTTAAACGATTTTTAACTGTGGAGCCATGACATATAGAGACAGCCCCATACGGATTTCATCTGAGTGGTTAAATCATAATGTACGTAGCTGGATGTAAAAGGCAGGAAACTCGTTTTATTCGATTTGGGACTTATCAGGATAATATGCTTGGTTCTCTATGTTGATAGTCACAACGAGAATCAAACCCAGTGCGTTACTTTTTTCAATGCCAACTAGCTATTCACTCAGCTACTAACGTGTTCAGATGGTTCTCATATTGTTCAACAGGTCTGAAGTTATTAATAAACGTTTTTAATTCCCCCTTGTCGATTTCTGGATTTTAACTGATCAGTCTCTGATGGAGTATTTTCACAAACCCAACCCTTGCAAAAACATATAATAGCATCTTGAATAACTGAAATGATTACAATAACAAAAAAATCAACAACTCTCTAAGTAGTTCTGTTCCACTGTATACAATCTTTAAAAGTTCCCAGTATCTACAATTTGGTGTATCCACAACATCTACTCACCTTGATTACATAATCTTGATTCCCATTTATATTATTATTATTATTCTTAGTATAACTATGAACTGATTGTGGATCACGTGTAATATATTTACCTAGACTTTTAATAAATAAGAAAATAAGCAAACATGATAAAACTCAGATAAAAATAAAATATTCTTATTTTATGTAAACAACAAATAAACAACTAATTAACAGTTTAAATGTGAAAAACATCATTTTTTTATCTGTGAGAATATAAAACACAAAAAGACATGGGAAAAAACCACATGACAATTGAATAGAATTTAGTATCAGAAGGGGTTGAGTGGATATTATAGTAATTTTCAATAGTTTAAATCATGAGTCAATTGAAAATAGACCATCATGGAAAACCTGGGAGCACTGGACCGCCGTGTTGTCTTATTGTGGGATTCCTCAGCAGTGTGCACACACGATATATATTACTTACTTACACCTGTTACTCCCGGTGGAGCATAGCCCGCTGACCACCATGCTCCATCCACTCTGTCCTGAGCCTCCCTTTCTAGTTTTATACAATTCATGTTCATTCTTCTCATGTCTGTCTCCATTTCTCCGCATAATGTGTTCTATGGTCTTCCTCTTCTCCTCATTTGGCTTTGAGGATCCCAAGTGAGGGCTTGCCTTGTGATGCAGTCGGGTGCTTACCTCAATGTGTGTCCGACCCACTTCCAGCACTTCTTCCTACTTTCTTCCTCCGCTGGCATGTGGTTTGTTCTCTCCCATAGTAGGTTGTTGCTGATAGTGCTAGCCAACGGATCCGAGGTATTTTGCGTAGACAACTGTTAATAAACACTTGTATCTTCTCAACGATTGCTTTCGTGGTTCCCCAAGTTTCCGCCCCATACAGTAGAACTGTCTTAACATTTGTATTGAAAATTCTAACTCTGGTGTTGGCAGTTGACAGTCGTTTTGAGTTGCAGATGTTCTTCAGTTGTAGATATGCTTCTCTTGCTTTGCCAATCTGCGCCTTCACATCTGCATCAGATCCACCATGTTCATCGATGACGCTGACCAGATATGTAAAGGTTTTTACATCCTACAAAGCTTTTCTGTCAAGTGTGATTTGATTGGTGTCTGTAGTGTTGTATGAGAGAATCTTGCTTTTCCTTTAGTTTATGTTGAGACCTATTGCTGCTGAGATTGCTGCTACACTGGTCGCCTTCTTCTGCATTTGTTGTTACGTGTGCGATAGAATAGTCAGATCATCTACGAATTCTAGATCGTCCAGATTCACTCTAACTTTCCACTGTATCCCATGCTTTCACTCAGATGTTGACGTCTTTGTAATTCAGTTGATCCCCGGGAGAAGGAGAATGTGTGAGAGTATATATATAAATGACATTTATATTCATCCATTCAAACAGTTTTGATTTATTGACATGTTTTTTTTATTGCATAATATGCATGACATGTGAATTTTATTTCATCTTGTTTCTTTTCAAAAGACTAACCGACAGTGATAGTGGTTTGTATTTTGAAGCAACTGGCTTTGTTATAGATATTAAACATTTCATATGAGCGTAGGATTACACATGTCTATCTCGCATTACATTTATTCAGTTAGAACCAGAATAAAATGGGGAATTTTGCAGTTATGTTTGCATAGTTATAAAACAGGAAGCCCACGAGTTGTGAGAGATGATCCTAAACTTTTATGTAAGTGAATAGTAAAGCAGTAGAACTTATGGTCTTCAGACAATTGTCAAGTTGTGAAATAAATCTTATATGCAACTGCAAAAAATGTAAACTATGATAAATTACGGTCCTTTACATTAATGACGAAATTCAAGTAAACAATGCCAAGTGAATATAAACTTCATCCCACTGCACAAGCAAGTCGCTATCAGCACTCATTAGCTAAGTGGACAATGCGATGGCTTTCGAAGAGAAGGGTATTGGGTTCGAGTCTCAGAGTGAACATCAACTCTGAGACGCAGGTGCATCCAGCTGGCGAGTTCCGAAAGGGATGAAACGCGCATCCTATATTTCACTGTTAGCCACCATCCATTTCCGCTTAAAAAGGCATTCAGTTTACAAAACTTCAGCGGGAAAAAACTTATTATCGCTGTGATTTACTAACACTTACGATTCATCATGTTGTTTAGTTCTTTTTCGAAATCGTTGATAAGCCAAATATTCTTTATCATCAATGCGGAAATAACGCAAACCACCTTATAAAAATAATAATGATAATATTAGCTAATAATACACATTATGATGCGTTAAAGGATAGTGAGCAAAATATACTGGGAATATCTGTAAGGATCATCACTGAAATCTATCAAGTACCAAAGACCTTATTTATCCAATTTTGATTATAAATATTATTTAAACAAAGGGATATCAAATAAACAGTTTTATAGCCATTATATGAATATTGTAGTTTAATTTTGACTTCCGGGTTAAGTATTATGCACAAAGAGAATTTTTTATCACAAAGGGTTTTGTGGATATTATAGTCTCGCGCACGAGACTGAAAGATCTTGGGTTCGAATTTCGCGAAGTGGGATCGGGGATGCACAATGCTGAAGAGTCCCACAGTAGGAGGAAACGGCCATCCAGTGCTTCCATTTTTTTCATGGTGGTCTAGCTTCAATTGACTCATAATCTCAACTATTAAAATTTTTTAATGGTTAAAAATACAACACATATAGTTCAGAAAAAAGTTTTGTGGATATTATAGTAATTTTTTTAATAGTTGAAATCAGAGTCAATTGAAGCTAGATCACCATGAAAAACCTGGAAACACTGAACTCATCATAGTTTTTGTAATATGAAGATGGCATAATTAATATCATCATGTTTTAATTTCAATTCTAAAATTAAAAATGTTTATAAACGAATGAATTCAAGTTGAAATACTTCTATGAATTGTTGCTCATGTTCATTCATAACATCGTTCATATAACGGATGAATCGTTTAAAAAAATAACAAACTAGTACCCTATAAAATTAAGAAAACTTGAATAGGTCAGGTTTAAAATCATCGACTATTATCATCTAAGGTAAATCAACGATGGTAAATAAGTATTTTAATACAAAGTTAATATCATTTTGTTTTGTCTATTTTCAAATAGACATGAAGTACGTTTTCCTATTGAACTTAACAGAGCGTCATAAAGAAAGTTTTGTTTGTTTGTTTCACTATCTAAGTAACTAAGTTATGAAAATAACAAACATCTTTTTGAAAGGATGAATAAATTCGATTCTATGAAATGTAAGTGATTTACACTGATAAATGTTAAAGTATTCTAAAACATTTTACGATACAATTAGTAACTAAAACAATAAGTATGAGATATTCAATTAGGGAAAAAAACATGGATCTGAAACTAAGTACTAAATAGATTCAAGTTAACTATTGAATTAAGTTAATCCATTTTAAGTGAAGTTCAAAATTTTATTCAGTTAACAAGTGCTTTACTGTTTCCTCAAGTATATGCTAAATAATGTGCTTATTCTTTATACTTTACATAGATGAGAGTTAGGGAAAATCAACAGAAGAATCACTGATAAATAGTACACAAGTGATTCATCATATTCCAAATAGGTCAGCGGCACCACCTGTAATTTCGGTACTATGTAACTCAAGCATAAATTGTTATAAATAAATAATATATTTGTAATATCACTTCTCTGAAGAAGTGACTTACACTAAGTCACGAAACGTCAGAAAATCTAATTTTCTACTCATCAAGCATAAATATTTGAATTGAAACATATTGGTGCCAGAAATCAATCGTCAGGAAGCTCATATGTAGGAAATTTTTTAGATTGCCTTCAGTTACATAACGTAATATACTAATAAGATTAGCAAAAAAAGAAATTATAAATACATTCAGATCTAAATTAACTTCACTATTATAAGTTGTTAAAAACTTTCCGATAAAAGTCTTCAGATAAGCTGCTCGTTTTACCTGACCGGTCATAACAATATATTATCAGAAAACGAGTTTTTAACATAACACTAAACAGACAATCGTGTTATTTTGATAAGTAAACACTATGAAGTAGGCTGTTTGGTGAGACTATAATTTATGAAAGATTTTTGAGTGACGCTAAAGTGACCTTGAGTGTGTCCATCTAATAACTAGGACCAAATGATGGTTATAAACCAGTGTGAGGAATTCGAATTATGACTTACAGTTGATGATTAAGGTTAGGAGTTAGATTTAGGATTCTCATCACGAACTGACATCATCTATAATACCAAAACTCTGTTTAGCCAAATGGGTGAATGAATTTCGCGCCAAAATCTAAGACTTATTATTTTATACCTCACTGCTTCGTCCATAAGTTATAGTCTCACCTTGCAGTTTTCACATTTTATTTATTTATTAAATTGTCAGATAAACTGTAAAAAAATAATCCAACTAATTAAATAGAATCAAACAAAAGTTCAATTGATTCACACATAAGAATAACTCATTTTTGTCGATTTAAAGTGCCATTCTAATAAGATTGTATTTGTAATAATGCTGTAATGATAGTTACATAGCATAAAAGCTATTCTGTTTGATAATGGTGCTGTTGCTGCTGCTGCTGCTGCTGATGATGATGATGGTGACAACCTAAATTATAGTAATTATGTTGTTTGATTTAATACTTTAGCACTGAGAACATAAATTACTTAGTTTCAATCTTCCCACGATTAAAGTCTTTGTGAAAATGATATAGAAAGTAATTTGATGGATGTAAAAATAAAAAAAATCACTTGTTTATTTAACCTTGAACAATAGAATATTACAATTTGTATGTGAATAAAATGTACAACATCTATTATATGTAAGTGTAAATGATACTCTTGATGTATTGAAATATTTTTAAAAAAAAATTGATTACTAAAGACTAATGTTTGAAAAATGATGCTATTAAAAATTTGTTTCTATGAATAACCACGAGCCAAAGATACACCTTCTGTGCTAAACCTTCAACTGTCAATTGTCAACATTCGATCAATTTCAACTACCTATTAAAGATTTTTTTATGGGCTATAACATTTCTTTTCTCTAATGTACGTTCAATTATTTAATAAAAGCATGTGTAGAGCTGAAGGTCTCATATGAGACTGGAGGTTCGCCATTGGTATTGTGGGTGGTTCGGCATTGCTTTGGCAAGTTTTGCTAACTGTTCATGCACAAAACTGGTTTGCCAGTTAACCGATTTCATTCATACTGGTGGTTGCTTTTCAATGTTCTCAAGGGCCATTGTCATTGGGACATCATAAGGCATGTCGCCACTACTAACATTAATGAGTTTGACTGTCATGTAAGCGGAATAGGTCAACTATGGCCTGTTCGTGCTGTGCATAATTGATTCACGCGATCATTGATCGGAATAACTATACATGTGACGTGAATGCGTATATGAATGGTGCGAATGGTCTACCAGGGTGCTTGGTACCTGTGTGGTTGTTCCACAGGATTGAGCTGTACTATTCAGATTGTAGCGTTAAAGCCTTTATGGTGTCCGGCTCTCCTGTTAAACGGCATTGAGCTGTACTGTTTGGGTTGTCTGGATGGTGTCTGGTTCTCCTGGAAATCAATGTAAAATTGCCCTGGCCCACAAGGGTATATATATATATATATATATATATATATATATATATATATATATATATATATATATATATATATATATATATATATATATATATTCCTCTTATTATAAGCTTCATTTTGACCCATAGATTATTAGAATACAATTTATTGTTCTTAAGTTCTGTTCAGTTTATTAATTACCGTCTCCCACGTTCACAACCACATTTTGGTTTGATCTTGTACAAATGTTATTTCCTATTTTATGGTGTGATGTGGTCTGTTTGATTTGTAAATAAACCCAGTATGTTTGAAATAAATGATTCGCATAATCGAAACTGTTATTGGTTTTCTGAACTAGAGTAGACAGGATAGGTGAACAGAGGACCAATAAAGACCCTGAGCTGTTCATATTGGTCGAACGTCATTGAATAAGTCGTATTTCGATTGACTAATAAATCACGTGATAAAAGCCGAGCTTCAAGTCACAACAGTCAGTAACCGAATGAAACTAATCACTTATACAGACTAATTTTCATAGAATAATAGCTGATATGAAACATAATGAATAAATTTCAATAGCTGACAATTAGGTTAGAAAAGAAAGTACTCTTTGTGTTTCAAAACTGAATTAACATACAAAATATGATCTGATCTATATGAAATATGAAGTAGGTTCTTTTATCTGTTTGCAAATTAAAACGAAGCGAATGGTACTGGGTTCGAGTCCCGGAGTGAACATCAATTCTGAGATGCAGATACATCCAGCTGACGAGCCCCAAACAGGATGAAACGTGCGTCCTGGATTCCACTGCTAACCACTATCCATCATTGCTTACAAAATGCTTGTGAATTAAAGCAATATCGAGGCATACGCACAGTATGCACATATGCCGATAGCAGACTGATCAATTGCAGTCATAAACCTCAGTGGGAAGATACAAGCCAAATAATACCAAGTGAATTTAAAACTCAAGAGTTATAGAATTTTATGAGAAACTTTGAAAATTATCTTCTGTCTATCATGCTTAACAATTCCATGAAATTTCTAGACACTGAAGAGATGAAAATGACAATTCTTACTGATTGAGTATCATTATTATCATGAACAATGGCGAAACGTTTAAGGGAATCATTAATCATCAAAGTTTTATTATATTTTTATAGTTACAAATGATTACAAATAATAAAGGTGAAAGATATGGAAATATTAGTTCGAACTTGTAATTAGGTTCTATATTTCAACCAAATCATATAACATAAGCAACTTGTAATAGTATACAACGAATAAATAAATTCCACTTAATCCGTATTAATGTTGCGCTTAATTCTTAATTCTATTCTTAAGTTGTAACAGATAAATGAATAAATTTTAATTGACTGTTTAGTTGTTTATCCATGTAAAGAGAATATAATTGATTTGATAGTTTTACTATAGTTTACCTTTTGTAGGTTGAAATCATGAGTCAGTTGAAGCTAGACCACCATTGAAAACCTGGATGCACTGGACGGCTGGTTCGTCTTGGCATGGGACTCCTCAGCAGTGCGCATCCACGGTCCCGCACCACGCGAGGCTCGAACCCAGGACCTACTGGCTTCGCGCGCGAGCACTTAACCACTAGACCACTGAGCCAGCATCCAACGGTGTTAATATCTAACTTCAACCAATCCACGAAGTTGCGCAACCGTACACCATTGTCTTCAGTAAGTTGTTATCTCACAACAGACCGGTTGAACTCCACTGGTAACGGCTTCTCACTAGAACTCCAGGAGTTTTTCCTGAAATCAGTCACTAGTGAGCAGTTGATTATTATCAGAATGTGTTTTGTGGAGAGTTTCACGAAGTTAGACATTAACACCGTTGGATGCCGGCTCAGTGGTCTAGTGGTTAAGTGCTCGCGCGCGAAGCCAGTAGGTCCTGGGTTCGAGCCTCGCGTGGTGCGGGACCGTGGATGCGCACTGCTGAGGAGTCCCATACCAGGACGAAACGGCCGTCCAGTACTTTCAGGTTTTCAATGGTGGTCTAGCTTCAAGTGACTCATGATTTCAACCTGTGAAATTTCTGAAACTCTCCACAAAACACATTCTGATTTACATTTTGTTTGAATAAGTAAAAGAATATCCTCTATAAAGTTTATGTATGAATATTCATGATTAAACTATAGTTAAGCAACAGTACAACAATTAGTTCATTCGATTATGAATGTATTTTTGAATGATAATTATAAATTATATTTGAACTTCTCTTTCAATACATTTTATGAACTTAACCATTTTCAGTTATTTAAAATAATAATCCTACATTGTAGCTGACTGACTGATGAAAATATCAGAAACAATAAGATTTATAGAATAAAGTGAGTTCTTTTGTTCTACAGGTTTTTATCAGCTAAGAAGAAGTCTAAAAAGATAAAGAGTTATGTGATTATATATATGTAATTAATATAAAATTTTTCAGTAGTTTTTATCTATCACCCCTACCACCGGAAGTTGAAATCAAGGCACTCGGTCTCGCGAATGAACGCTTAATCATAAGATCACTTAGCCGGAAGTATAAGTCTAATTTCAGTCAATTTTTGATATTATACGACTATCTTATATTGCCTGTGGTGAATAAGTTCCTCAGAGCAGACAGAATTCAATTCTACTGGTCATAACTTCTCAATAGAACTCCAGAAATTTCCGTTTTGAAGATATTCACTAATAAGCATATGATTATTATCAGTATACGGATTGTGGACACCGACATGATTTGTTTTGGGTGTGTACTTCCGAGATGTATATATTAAAACGAAGTAGCTAACTAGTACTTCCAGGTCATCAATCATTGTTCAGCTTATATCTCTCCATGATTTCAATGCCCCCAAATGCCCTGGTACGGCCGAGAGTGGGGAGAGTCAGCTCTCTCTCTCGAAACGCCCTCTGCCAGGGAAGTCCTACTCACTGCCTTCTCGCACCACGGGTGCTGTCTACGAAATTGAGAGGACGAAAAACTAATGTTCGGCGCTTTGACCGGGTTGGTGGACATGGAGAGTTCACCTAGGGGAGTTGGAAAACCCTCATTCCAAACCAATGGGGTACATGGGCTCTAGTACCCTGAGGGAACAAGTGTCGTATGAACCAATTATTGGTCACTGGCTACCAGGGACCTGCATCTCCTGACGTCGCTCCACTGCCTTGTGGATCAGACCTTCAGGTCGAAGGCTCCGGGTTTGGCCACCTATGAGAACCACCTGCTTCTGTTTGGGCACCTGGGCAGTATCATGGCTCACACACAAATCAAGTGACTTGTATGGCGCATATGTATTTGGTGCCCCTTTGTACCAATATCTATGTGTTAAAGTAAATAATAAAAATGATTTCAATGAAATGATATAGTCAATTATTATTTTCATTGTTATTACGTAATCTTTTTATTCTTCCTTTTTTATTTTTAAAATTTAAATATGCATCGGTTTTAACTTTGTTTAATCCTATATTTTATACTCTGATGTTTCCTTTCCTTCATTTTACTAAAGCATATTATACTTCTATGTGTATTTGTATTACTCCTTATAATTTAGGTTGTTTTGTAAACGAAGTGAATTCATAAAATAGAATGAATTCATTTTATTCTCGGAAGCGGTCTTTTTTCTTCCTACTTTGTTTAACTTTAATCAAGGAATTAGTTTCTATGAAAATTATAACACTGTTGTATTGTTTTTTTTATGTAGTTTTGTTCCATCAAAATTATCCACCTGAGCTACAAATCTCTACCATCTTATTATTGTATCATATTAAAATAATTTAGAAAAAAAGGAATCAATTACTAACCAAACCATCTAGCTCAGAGAACAAAACTCAGCCGAGAAATCATCGACCTGAGCTAAAAATCTTCTCCACCATCTCAGGAATCAATCACCTTAATCGTTCACTCCTTATTATAAGTTGGTATTTTTTAGAAGAAAAAAAGCAAAATAACTTTAAATCCTGCCTCTGAAAAGAAGAAAAACAAATAGGAGAACAAACCAGAACATACCATGAAAACGTGGTTCATATTCATCATTGATTTCTGATGCTCCTTTCAGAACTATTCGTGAATTAAACTGAAATATGCACATGAAGAAAATAATACCAGTTTTAATTGTTTATGGTTAGAATAAAAATAATGAATGATGAAACTTTGTAAAATAAAATAAAAGTAAATAATTTCACCATGATGGGTTTGTGCAATTGAAATAAAATCTACACAATAAACCATTGTCATTTGAAGAAACAGTTTAAAGTAGAGTGTATTGGACAACATCCTGGATCTTAGATTGAGACTTTTCAGTACTGACGACTGATAACCTTGAACAGGATAGAAACTGGGACATTCACATCTCCTAGGTAACACTATACTGCAGAGATAATAAGTTAATATTCGTAAGTTTATAGTTTTAACTCCAATAAAGCGTTGTTGTTTAATATAATTGTTTCACTAGTAACTTGGTTGATTACATACAGTTGCTTTAGTAAATAATAAACAAGTGCTTAGTAGTAGCTTATTTTAAGTTTCTAAAACGTGTTTTTCTAATTACTGTGTTTTATGAATTCACTGTAAGCAAAAGAAGAATAATAACTCATTGATAAAAGTAAATGGTCGAATTTTCATATTACACTTTAATTGAACTTAAAGATACAAAGTCGTTGATTCAATGGCATTTAACTCTTGAATTTAATCCAGCATGAAGCCGTCAGTATGCGTCCTTAGATAGTCCCAAACTAGGAAAATAAACTTATCCAGTGCTCCCTGGTTTTCAAAAGCTTTTGCTAACATCGCTTCGTGACAAAAGCTGTCTTACACGGTAGGGTTTCATTTTGTTTATCAGTTTTATTTATTTATTTGAACACATAAATATCAGTACAAAGTGGCAGCAAATACATATGCACTACACAAGTCACTTGATTTGTATGTAGGCTGTGATACTGCCTGGCAGCCCAAACAGAAGCAGGTGGTTCTCTTAGGGGGCTATAGCTTGAGCCTTCGACCTGAAGGTCTGATCCACAAGGTAATTGAGCAACGTCAGAAGATGCAGTTTCATGGTAGTCGGTGACAAATAACTGGTTTATACGCTATTTGTTCCTTCAAGATGCTGGAGCGCATCTTCCCCATTGGTTTTGAATCAGGGTTTTCCATTTCCCCTAGGTAGATCCTTCATACTCATCAACCCGGTTAAAGCGCCGAACATTAGTTTTTCGTCCTCTCAATTTCATATACAAAACCCCACCACGAGAAGGTAGTGAGTAGGACTTCAATGATATATAGTTGCACACGTCGTAATGTAACATTTCCAATAACATTATTTCATGGTACACAAATTTCAACAAACATCACTTATCAGTCTATCTAATTTCTGATAGTTCCAGATCAGATCTTTAATGATTATCTAACTTAGACTGGCTAGTGATTTCACTGAAATTCCAGAATTGCTAAGGAGAAAACTGATATATATATATTGCTTAGTCACGACTATATGATTGATTCTAATTGAAAAAATCAATATAACACTGAGACAATCTATTAATCTCTATTAAAAAAATAAAAAACAAATATTTTATTACACGTTGTTTTTCACTAAAAACAGACTCATTTTCTTCGATCAAACTCATAATGTTTTAGTATCTTGTTTAAGTAAACTACTTTAATTTCACTAATTACTGAATATATATCTTTATGGTTTTGCAAACACATATATATATATACAACACGTAGATTATAAAAATGATTAAGAAGGCTAGTTATGTAAGCATGTGAATTCACTGATAAAAAGAAGTGTTTAACAGCAAAAGTGTTTCACATAATAAACAATATTAAATATTTATATTGATTTGTTTTATTCTCGTCGTTGATATTAATAATTGCAATCGATCAACCTCTTTTAGTATATAGTCATCTTAAGCTGATTACCTCTGTATTGCTAGTAGTAGCAAGCAACAGATTCTGGGACTTGTTATCATTTGGTTTGGGACTTTTCAGCTGAATTTACCATTTCATAATGAAAATACGTCAAAATGAGTAACTAGCTGTAGTCCTTAGCATCAACAACCAACAAATACTAATTTATGTAAATAATATCAATGCCTTCTACACAAGCTAGTAGTTATAAAATATCACTAGCTTAATGGTTGACGCTTTGAATATTTTAAACTAAAGGTACTGGGTTAGAGTCTTAATGTGAGCATTAACACTGGAATACAAGTAAATCCAGAAGATGAAATGCACGTCTATATTTTACTGTAAGTTACCAACCAACTCTACCAAATTACTGAATATTATCCCAAAATAATATTTTTCTGCAAATGAAGTACTAAACTTTAGGATCAGGTTTCAACACAATGAATTGAATCAAACAAGTATCTTGGTATTTATTAATGTTTAAATAAATATTATTCAAAACGTTTTGAAATACAAAAGTATATCTTCAACTGAAAAAAAACCCTGAAAGAACACTCATGAACAGTCGATGTTATTTTACTTCATCATTAAACCATTACAATAGAACTATGACGAATGCTTAAACAACACAAAATTAAAGTCACCTACAGTGACATCGATTACACTTTAGAAAGTTTTAGTTAGAATGAAAAATAAAATTCTTTTCATTTCAACATAACACATTAGATTATAATGTTAATGATAATGTACTTTTATATTTGAAGAGCAAATGATATCTTATTATGGGTTAAAATACATTTAGGCTATACATAATAAATTCTTAGTACTCTCGTAACAGTGGTTCCAAATTCTATAAGTTTTGAAAATATTTTAAAAAAAGTACTTCTATAGAGAAATCTTACCGTTGCCAAAAAATCATAACTAACCAATCAAAGATGTCTTATGTCCCCTATTAATAATCATGTTGTAAACATATATGGAAATTGTATTGTCTTATTATACTGTAATTCATATATTTATTCACGGTAACATGCATACACAAGATATTCATCAATTTTAAGTAAACAATAATTACATGTCTAGACATGTTTGGATGTATAATTTAATTTATCCAACTTTTATGGTGATAAAACTTGTTTTAACTTGAAAAAGTTATTTATCTACTATACATTGATTGATCTATGCAAGATCTTGAAATGTTAGAAGAATCGATTTTTCTATCCGTTCCTCATAGGTCACTCTCTGTCACTAACTCTCATTATAGTAGTTATGACTAAAAAGTGAGGAAATAAAAAGAATAACTTAAATTAAACTTGGGAATCGAAAAGGATCATTAATGTTACCTATTTGTTTTACAAGTTTTGCATTTTTTTTTCTTACTATATATCAGTGATTTTAGCTACTTTCATAAACTGATAATTAATACAGATTTATAATGAACTATTAGATAATGAAATATTTAATTCACAATTTCTTAAGCACTACTTCAATCTAGTTATTGTAAGTGAATTCCTATTGTTTACACATTCCTATTTGATTTCTGTAACCAAGACGTGTTTTAGAAAAGTATATAAGCGAATACACATAGAAATGGGAGTCTTTCTTAGTTAACCGAAATGATAAGTATGACCATTAGTATTCTTAACTGGATTTCAATTATAATTGTATATGAATACATTCAAGAAGACCATGATGTAGTGTGATTTAATGATCTACAATTATACTCAACCTAAAATCTAGACAATTAAATATGAAATTTGTTATAAGTTCACACAATATGTATTGCATATAAACATATTGTAATAACGAATTAGATTTGTAGTGAATGGTTGAATGGTGTAATATATTAGTTCAGTATTTTATAAACAAGCTTTTTAAACCCTTCATTTATTTAATATTTAATATGCTTTATACATTTTGACAATATACAGAAGCCTGAGTCAATCAAATGAAAGTATATTTACAGTTTTTTTACGATAGTCTTTGATAATTAGCCATATTAAAAGATCGTATATGTTATGAACTGACCCCATTTGTAAAACCGTCGACCAACTATGAAGTAATACATAGATATTTCATATTAGTTCATGACTCTTCAGAAGTACTCACCAACGATTCCACAAATATTGGAATCAAAAACCTCATATCCCTCTGTAGTTTTCACATTTGCTCAGATCTCCTTTCTTTGGAATCTTGACGAGGTGTCCTTCTTTCCAGTTCATCGGCACTTGTTCCTCCTCCCAAATCTTTTTGAATAGAAGATAAAGCATGCTTGTGGTTGTTTCGATGTCTGATTTCAGTGCTTCAGCTGGTATGTTGTCGGGTCCTGCTGCTTTCCCGTTCTTGATTTGTCTGACGGCCATTCTAATTTCTTCCGTAGTTGGTGGATTGACATCTATAGGAAGATCTATGTGTGCTGCTTCGATGTCCGGTGGATTCATTGGAGCCGGCCTATTCAGGAGTTCCTCGAAGTATTCTACCCATCTGTTACGTTGTTGTTGAATTTCGGTGATTGGCTTGCCTTCTTTGTCTTTGACCGGTCTCTCTGGTTTACTGTATTTCCCTGATAGTTTCTTCGTTGTATCGTAAAGCTGTTTCATGTTTCCTTCTCTAGCAGCTTTTTCTGCCGTCGTTGCTAGTTCTTCCACGTATTTCTTCTTGTCGGCTCTAATGCTCCTCTTCACTTGTTTGTTTGCTTCTATGTATTCAGCTTGTGCTTGGACTTTCTCTGCTCGTGTTCGGCTGTTGTTTATTGCTGCCTTCTTGTTCTTCTTTTCTTTGATCTTGTCCAGTGTTTCTGTAGAGATCCATTCCTTATGATGGTATTTCTTTAGACCGAGAACCTCTTGACACGTTGAAGTTAATGCTTCCTTGATGCCTTTCCAGTTGTCCTCCATACTAGTTTCTTCTTCTTTCAGTAGATCTTGTAAGGCTTGGAACCTGTTGTTGAGAGCTATCTTGAATTCATTAAGTTTGACAGTATCTCGAAGGAAGGCTGTATTGAACCTTTGTATTGCTGTTTGTCCACTTGTCCAGTTCTTTTTTAGCTTCAGTTTCAAATTGGCTACAACTAGGTGGTGATCTGAAGCTACGTCAGCACCTCTCCTGGTTCGCACATCTTCCATTGTCCTTCGGAATTTTTTGTTGATGCAAATATGATCTATTTGGTTCTCTGTAGTGTGGTCCGGTGAGATCCATGTAGCCTTGTGTATACGCTTGTGTGGAAATATTGTGCCGCCTATGACCAATTTGTTGAATGCACATAGATTTGCAAATCTTTCTCCATTTTCGTTTCTTTCTCCCAGTCCATGTCGTCCCATAATATCTTCATATCCAGTGTTGTCTATTCTGACTTTGGCATTTAGATCTCCCATTAGAATAGTTAGGTCCTTCCTTGGGCATTTCTCTATCACTGACTGCAGCCGCTCGTAGAATTGATCTTTAATGTCGTCGTTGCTATCATTGGTGGGTGCATAACATTGGATAATATTCATTAAGATCCCCTCCTTCTTTGTTTTGAATGATGCTTTGATGATTCTGGATCCGTGAGATTCCCATCCTACAAGTGCATTTCGTGCTACTTTGGACAGCATTAGAGCGACTCCCTGAGTGTGTGGAGCATTGTCCTCTTCGTGACCGGAGTATAGCAGCATCTCTCCTGTAGCTAGCCTTTTCTGTCCAGCTTGGGTCCAGTGGGTTTCGCTGATTCCCAGTACTAAGTTGTATCTCCTCATTTCCATTGATATTTGACTGGTCTTCCCGGTCTCCCACATTGTTCGAACGTTCCATGTACCTATAAAAATTTTTGCTCTGGTTGTTAGAAGGGGCATCGGCCTCGTGGCTTCCGAAGGAACTCGGCTTTCACCATGAAGCGTCATAATTCTTCTAAATGAAGACCTTCTAACTCCCAGGGCAGAGTTAAAATGGTTTGGATTATTTTTTCTGGTAAGCGTTTTTTTAGCGAGTTAGTTTTCTACGGGATGGGGACGCTAACCCCATGCCCAACCCTCCTCCTTTACCCGGGCTTGGGACCGGCAGCAACCCTATAAGAGCTACAGGCGGAGTTAAGTAAGTTTTTAAACCCTTCATTTATTTAATATTTAATATGCTTTATACATTTTGACAATATACAGAAGCCTGAGTCAATCAAATGAAAGTATATTTACAGTTTTTTTACGATAGTCTTTGATAATTAGCCATATTAAAAGATCGTATATGTTATGAACTGACCCCATTTGTAAAACCGTCGACCAACTATGAAGTAATACATAGATATTTCATATTAGTTCATGACTCTTCAGAAGTACTCACCAACGATTCCACAAATATTGGAATCAAAAACCTCATATCTTAATGTAAGTTCAATAACTTAAGAACATTGACCTTGTATTTAGATATGCTTGAATGCTATTACGAGTTCACCTTACCTGGTAAACGAACGAAGGTCAAAGACACAGGCTATTCTAACACGTTGTCCCCGGCCCTGCTAACTAGATCAAAAAATCCTGATGAGGCTTAGAGAAGGTATTCTACAAGCACCCAGAAAATAGGAGGTCACTTAGCACACAAATCAAGCTTATTAATACACTGATAGAAATGCCCTTGTGAGAGCCAAAAAATAGCGTACGAAAAAATCCGTCAACCGATGACAGTCAAGGATTTCCGAGTGGGAAATGTAGGCTGTAGGTCAACTAAGCGTCTCTTGGCGCAAAAACATAAAATTCAGATTTTCAGAATAAAATTACAAAATAAGAACCTTTTCCAAGTGAGTTCTGAGGATCTAACGTCCATATTTCCAACTTTAGTCTATCTTCAGCTAAGCTAACATAAATAATTGAAGTTTCATTGTCAGTGACTAACTTCATGATGGATTTCCAAAGGCTTCTTAAGAAGTTGTTGATTCGAGAGTTCATCAACATAGTGAGTATGACTCAATGATTACTATACAGCATCTTTGAATGACTAACAAAAAGCTTGGTTCTATGGTGACACATAAAATTTAGTCTTTCTTTAACTGATTAGGAAAAGTTTTCACTATTAAGTGAAATATTAAATAAATCTAAGCACCAAGTCATTTAATTTTAATTATATTAAACAGTTAGAAATGCTTTTTATAAATTAAGATAATGAGGAAAATATATGAAACAAAATAAACATTTACCTGCGTACTTATCAGTATAAGTGTCAATTATTTGGTGGAATCATGAATACTAGATCGTTTTATTATTCTACTTTATAACTTTGTAACAAAACGCATTTACAGCCACGCACTCGGTAGAATCTATGATCACTAGAACCCTTGACAACGCGAAACTCTTTACTTATCCGGTTCAAATACAGGGTATTATCACCATTTCATTCCAACAAGTCACATGGTACAAGTTTTACTCGGTGGTTGATGAGGACTAAGTAATAATAAGTCTGACAAAGTTTAAAGGTACTTATTACTAAAAATTTGTATCATTTTTCTTGAATCAAAGTTATCCGAATTATTACTAACCTATTAAAATTAGACAGATTTATATATATGTATTAATATAAGGTGTCATTTATTCTAATTTATATTAACATAGTAAAACAAAACAAAAAATAGTATAATCAACAGATACCTACTACTGGATTTCGACTAATCACTTCATTTGATCTATGTCTAGATCTTTTTTTCAATGGATGATAAAATATTGGCATATAAATATTCAGTGGATTGGGCCACTTTGAGCTTAAACAAAGAAGAAAAAAATAAGTGAATGAAAGTTATAATAATAAAATTCTTGGAAGAAATTGTGAATAGATAAATTGATTGGTTTTTGTTGTAATAGATTTTACTATTTATGGTAAAAAATCTGTAGGAATGGCGAATGTACTTTTATTATGACCATTTTATACCTTAATCAAGTTATATCATTTGTCATGGAGATTTTGTAAAGTGTAAAAGTAATTTTTACCAAACAATTATTGAAACTTATGGTGTACTTTAGAATTGATCTAATCGATAATGAGACAATAATTTCTCAATGAAATCAGATGAAGACAAAGCCGTATTATACATTGACTGTAGTCAAAGATGTAGACAGTTGGTTTTTAACATAATAGTATGAACGTATTTTGTCCAGCATAATACCTGAAGAAGTTTATAACAGTTTTATGTAGTGATCATTGGAAAAACTTTTTGATAATTCTTGAACAAGGACAAAACAGATATTCTTTACCACTTGGTTTACATTAGTTCCTCAAATGAAGTCAGTTCACTGTAAAAACCACTGTCTTAGTTGTCCACTCAGAGAGATTAAGTAAGGAAAAGCTATTCGCGACTATTCCTCATATCATTTTTAATGTTACATAACGAATGAAATGGAGGTGAAATAATTTAATAATATATATGAGCTAAATTCAACCGACGTATTGACTTAAGGCTATTAACTCCATGAGAATTCGAGATCGGTTCTGATGTTGTAGTTTCGGATGACAGTATAAAATTCATAATTAAACCACTTAGCTTAATTACTGTGTCTCTATTCATACGAAATATTATCAGGGGATTTCGGAAGTGAAATTTAATATCATTTAAAAACAAACCATATTCTGTCCATCATTTATTGATGATCAAATAGAGAATTATGTTGGCAAAAATTTCGCTATCAAAAAATGTTATAATCCAGTAGCTGACCATAGATTCAGAAATATTTCTCAAATACTTTAATACATTTGAAAATATCCGAATTAATAACAGCTAGATAGCCACCGAAAATCAAGGGGTATTGGATATCTTTCTCATTCTTTATTGAGACTGCCTAATAACACACAACCTCACACAAATTTGAATACAGGAATTTCAAAGGTTATAACGGGGTCATTGAGTTGCACAGCTTAAAATCATCTGTTCATATTTTCAAAATGGTTCGAATTACTTTTCTGGTTAGCATTTTTTTAGCGAGTTAGTTTTTTACGGGATGGGATCGCTAGCCTCATGCCTAACCCTCCTCCTTTACCCAGGCTCGAAACTGGCAGTAATTCTAAAAGAGCTACAGGCTAGAAAGGACTGCACAGAACAGGGTTGGATGGAGAATGCTGGTGAGCCACCTATGCTTCTTTACGAGGAGAAACAGGCGCAAGTAAGTAAGTAATATTTTCTGTAAACCATTTGTTATCTACTTCCCTAATTGATATATAGCTGAACGTTTTATACGCCGGATCTTTCAGTTTGAACTTCGAAAATCTGTGATTATTATTTACTTAGAATAATTTTGTGGAGATGTCGTGCATCCTAAATTTGGTTTGCGTCACAGACATACTGTGATATGTGCTACTGATGTCAATAGATATAAGTAGTATATATCGTCAATCGAAAGTCACATGCCTGGAAGCAGAAACTTATCAATATCAAAGAAAACACAACGAGAGCAGACAATGATTGATGTGGAAATGAAGAAACAACCAATTCTCAGACGATTGATTGACATTTTGCAAATGAAATATTTACTCTGTCGTTCTCAGATTTTACTAACATATACTGTAATTTTCTGTTGAAGTATATTCGATTGTCCCCACTTGTCTTCTCATTCACTACAATAATCTCAGATTTCCAATGATTCTCTAAATTATATTAATCTATCATAAAATCTGTATTGTGTTATTAGAAAAAGGAAGTATGCTCTATTCCCACGGATTCACATATATTTGTTTATTAAATCATACAGAGAATGTATTACTGAATATGTTTTAGTAAGTGAAATTCTACCGACCATTGAACTAAAAGGAAGGAGAATATTTAAGTCATTTTTTATTAGTTATTTATTTCAGTATATAAATATTGATACAAAGAGGCACCGAATACATATGCGCCACATAAATCATTTGATTTCTGTGTAGGTTATGATACTGCGCTGATGCTCAAACCGAAGCAGATGGTTCTCTTAGGGGCTACATCCGGAGTATTTGACCTAAAGGTCTCACTCACAAGAGAGTGGAGCAACGTGAGGAGATGCAGTCCCATGTTAGCCGACGACCAATAATTGGTTCATACGTTATTTGTTCCTTCAAGATACTAGAGATACCAGATAGCTCACTAGAACTGATAGACATGAATAACGTTAATTTCGATGATATGTAAGGATTACTTTAACATATCAATTAAATAAACATTGAAAGTCAAATATCACTAGGTAATTGTTTAGTTTAATCATTTCATAAAAGAATTGATCACAATTATAAAAGTAGTATATTTGTAAATTACCTACCTTGGTGTATTCCATGCAGGTCCAAGATCTAACCATAATTCTTTTGTTTTAACTGATAATAATTTAAATATTGACGTAATAGTATTTTCATTCAATAATGGTTCAATTACATCAACTACAATATTAGAATTGTAATTAGTAATTTGTTTTGATTTTGCAACTGTATGAACTTTACGTACAATTCTTATTAAATAAACAAAAATTTCTTTTGATATATATGGTACTGATTTACGAATTTTTTCAATAATATTTAATGCATATTTAACTTTTTGTAAAGAATCGATTGCTACAGTAGAATCTGGCGGTTCATCATTATTTTGTTTTACATTTATAGCTATAAAAAAAATCAACGAAATGATGAATTATCAGTATGAGGTTGTGAAGATTAATACGTTTCTTGATCTAGAACATGATCCGATTGATGTTTGACCACCATTCAAAACCTGGAAGCACTAGATGGCCGTCTCGTCATATTGAAGGACTCATCAGCAGTGCGCGTGCACAATCCCGCTCAGGGAATTCCAAGTCAGGGCCTTTGATCTCGTGAGCAAATGGTTAACTTCTAGACCTCTGGAATCGTGGATGTACAGTGCTGAGAAGCTCCACAATAGGACGAAACCGCCGTTCAATGCCTCCAGGTTTCCAATGGTAGTCTAACGTAAATCGGTTCATGATCTCAATAAAAAAATGATGAATTATTTAATGAAGAAAGAAGGCTAATAGAAAATTTTGCAAAATTAAGTTCATAATTTTTAATTAGCTCAAGACAAAACAGAATGAATTTAAATGCGACGGAGTATAAAGTCTTTCCAATAAAATCCAATTAAACCTTTGTATAGCCACGCTAGGAGGTGTTCACGAGCACGAAAACGTAAATCCCTAGAACTCTGACCAATATAACTCGCTCCACAGGAGCAGAGATTATATGGATCGCCAAAGATACACAAACCGGGGATCCCATCAAGACCTATTCTAGATATGTACGATTCTCCTTTCCATACTATAGCTAAATGGTTGTTACCTGTATTGAAACCTCTCCATGAAAAGCATAGTGTTAAGGATGTATTCCAATTTATTGACAAAATCAAAAATGCAAATACGGTGGGATTAAAGATGATGTCACTGGATGTAACGTCGTTATTCACAAACGTCCCACTCATAGAAACTGTGGAATACATAGGTGAACAACTGATTGAAAATGATATTGAAAATACTATTCCTATTAATGTCGTGAAAGAGTTATTACTCAAATGCACCATGAATGTGAACTTCAAGTCCAACAGTGAAATATGTAGACAAACAGATGGTGTTGCAATGGGTTCACCACTGGGCCCTATACTAGCTGATATTTTTCTAGCCAAACTAGAAAATGATCCATTAAAAAAATTATTCAAAACTTCACATTTTAATGTAGATATATTGATGACACGTTCATCCTCTGTAAAGATATTACGTCACAGCAAGAGGTTATTAAGCAATTTAATGAAGTACATCCAGCCATTCAGTTTACATCTGAAGAAGAGAGTGATGGTCGAATAGCCTTTTCGGACGTTCTCTTAACTAAGAGAGCGGATGGATCGTTAAAAAGGGACTTAAACAGAAAAAGTATATGGACTGGGCAGTATACTCATTTCCTCAGCTTTGTACCTCTACAGTACAAACGAAACGTGATCAAAACCCTTAGTTACCAAATACGCACTATATGTTCTGCTGATATAGCTGAAGACGAACTTAACACGTTGCATAATACTCTCAGGGAGAACGGGTACCCTTGAAAGTTTATAATTAAATATATGAACACGAAGGTGAAAATAAGTGGAATGCAAACGGTGAAGAAGAAATCTCTGTTCATGCGTCTACAATTCAGAGGGGATATGGCTAAAGAAATATTAACTCAGAGATTGCGTAGGACAATACAAAAATCCTTTAACGCCGGAGAACTGCGATTAATATTTTCTACGCGCTCAATGGTGACACCGATGCTAAAAAATGAATTACCTAGAAAAACCTAATTAGTTGAATCATTTGTATATTGTTACTTTTATATATGGTAAAAGTGATTGTATAGGTGCTAGATGTATGTATACATAATATAGAGTTTTGGGTAGTACAACTTCTGTATAGCCCTATTTGTTTGTTTCTATCAATTTGAAAGATAATCATTACTAAAATTTCTCTTGAAATAAACAACTATAACACTCGTAGATGTCTTTACAGGTATTGTTGTTAGAGGATGCATTATAAATAGTCTATTGAAGTGCAATGCAGTCTACTTTTATTTGTTTAGTATAGGTAAGTCAAATTTAAAGTTCGCTGTCACTATCTCTAAAATTTAATTAGAAGTTCATAGCATTCGTTCTATAGAAATACAGAACACCAAGTAGGCATGAAATATTCCTGAAATCTTTTTGCATTAATTATGAGTGATTTGAGTTTCTTATTTAATAGCTTCATAGGGAACCACTATTTCAGAAATCCGTGCTCTGTATCCTTAAGCTTCTTAGAATCTTGGTAAACAACAAACCTCTCAGTGTGTGAATATTTATCCTAAACGATAAATTGACTGTTTTCTCAGTGATAATGATGCAAATTTTATATAGTTTACATCACGGATTAATCCTAGTGAAACAAATAGCGAAACCAGGAAATACTGGGCATCTATTTTAAAACTCCTCAGTAAGATTCATTCATGACCCCACTCCATATCGAACTTAGGAATTTCAGGTCTTGGGGTGAGTGTTAAATCATTAAATCATTGCACTGAAATTCACTGACTCACATATCTAAGTTCACTCAACACTTAAGATTGTGCAACCATCTTTCAATGCTTCTGGTGGCTAACTATTTCACTTCTCACATGACTGGGCTCAACCAATAACGACTTCTGACAAGAACCCTAAGAATTACCTCTAGAAATTAGTCACTTAGAGAATATATGATTGTTATTAGTATAAGGTACTTATGGAATATGGTTTCTTTTTTCTTTCAGCAATAATTGGCTAACAATAGAAAATTTAGTACCAGAGTGGTGTTATCTATCTTCTTTCAAACCTTTCAATTAATGATTCTAACTATCTTTAGTCCATTGAGTAGAAAAATTAGATTTTTCGACGTTTCATGACTAAATGTAAGCGATCATTGGATTAATACAATGTTTGTGTAAATGTATTTTCTTTTTCTTTTTTCTTTTTTTAAAAAAGAAACAATTAATTTTGGCTCCAACAATCAATGTCGAATAGAGAAAACTGAGCAGTGCACGTAATTCGAATCTAGGACCTTTGTTATCGGGCGCAAACGCTTAACTTCTAGGCTACTGGGCTAGTACCAAATAGTGTTAATGTCTAACTTTAACTAATCAATGAAATTGCGCAATCATCTTTTATTGCGCTGAGATAGATACCTGTCTCTACCTGATATGGATTAGTTCCACTGGTCAAGGCTTTTGAATGAACATAGAACAAAGGTTAGACATTAAACCTTAATTACTTATCAGTCTTCATAGATTATGTCTTTTGGTCGAATAGTATAACAAGGTTACAAAATAAGCTTTGACAATCAAACTGCTCACACAATACAATTCAATAAAGAGTTTACATGGATTCATCTAAAGTAGTTTCTACAATGAAGATAACTATTATAAATGTTTATTGAAATTATTATACACTGGCCTATTTAAAATGAAAATGTTGTTGTTGAAAAGAAAAGATACTATTTCATCAATAATTTTATTGTTATAAAACTCACTCTGTTTATTATCAAGTTCGTCTGGTGAAAATCTAAAACTTTTTCTAAAATTCTTTTCAAACCATTCAATATCATCTAAACATCTATTTAACATATACAAATCTTGACCGTATGCATCATCCTAAAATAATAATAAGAAGAAGATAAAGATATGCAACTACTTGTTCGAACATGCTACAACAAAGAAGAAACGATTGATTTATATGTACAAATAATGTTAATGTAAGCATAAAGTATGTTGAATACAAAGTTCCTCTAAACACATTTTCTAATAAAAAACACATTTTGTATTAAGTAAGTTAATCACTAATATTTAACTCTACTGTTAGAATTATTTACAAATGTGTTTAATAGTTGATATAACGGATGATTTAGAATATTTCCTCTCTCTCTCTCCCTCTCTCTCATATTTACTATGATAATACGTGAATACGATAATTAGACTAGTCACGTTATATCAGATCCACGATTTCACGATCCAGAATAAAGAACCAGAATATAGACTAGATAATAATTTATTCAACACAATTACAAGCAATTACTTTCAGTGAGTTCGAAACCACAAATCAACAAGAGGAAAAGAAATTACATATTTCATAGTTATTAGACTGAATGCCTGTTTGTCCACGCTCAGTGATCAATCATATTTTATTTACAGTACCACATACCAATAAGGGAAACAATAAAATGTAAATTGAACAATTTATCAAGTGAATGCCCCTGGATTTTTTTGATTTTACTTGCTCACTGAAATTTGAAGTCAGAAATTACCTACTATAAATACCAAAACTTTCTCTACTGGGTTACATAATAATAATAATATTAATAATAATAGTCATTAAAATTTACAATAAAGTATTCTACTTACAGTATTGTTTGATTTAATAAACAATGGATTATTACCATTATAACTCCGCCTGGAGTCCCTCCGGGGGCTACTGCCGGTCCCAAGCCCGGATAAAGGAGGAGGGTTGGGCATAGGGTTAGCGTCCCCATCCCGTAGAAAAATAACTCGCTAAAAAAACGCTAATCAGAAAAAATTATTCAAACCTTTTAAACTCTGCCCTGGGAGTCAGAAGGTCTTCATTTAGAAGAATTATGACGCCTCATGATGAAAGCCGAATTCCTTCGGAAGTTACGAGGCCGATGCCCCTTCTGACAACCAGAGCGACCATTTATCTAGGTACATGGAATGTTCGTACAATGTGGGACACCGGGAGAGCCTTCCAAATTGCTGCAGAAATGAGAAGATACAACCTAGAGGTACTTGGGATCAGTGAAACACATTGGACACAAGTTGGACAACAACGACTAACTACAGGAGAGCTCCTGTTATACTCCGGCCATGAAGAAGAAAATGCACCACATACACAAGGAGTTGCATTGATGCTGTCCAAACAAGCGCAACATGCGCTTATAGGATGGGAATCTCATGGACCAAGGATCATCAAAGCATCATTCAAAACAAAGAAAGAAGGCATTTCAATGAACATCATCCAATGCTATGCGCCTACCAACGACTACAATGAAGACGCTAAAGATCAATTCTACGATAGGCTGCAGTCAATAGTCGAGAAGTGCCCAACAAAGGTCCTGACCATTTTGATGAGAGATTTCAATGCCATGGTTGGAATGGACAACACCGGATATGAAGTCATCATGGGACGACACGGAGTGGGAGAAAGGAATGAAAATGGTGAGAGATTTGCAAACCTATGTGCCTTCAATAAACTGGTCATAGGCGGCGCCATATTCCCACATAAACGCATACACAAAACCACATGCACTTTACTGGATCACACCACTCAAAACCAAATCGACCATATTTGCATCAACAAAACGTTCAGGAGGACTATAGAGGACGTGAGAACCAAGAGAGGAGCTGATATAGCATCAGATCATCACTTACTGGTCGCCAAGATGAAATTGAAACTCAAGAAGCACTGGACAACGAGGCGGACAATATCACAAAAGTTCAATACGGCCTTTCTTCGGGATACTAACAAACTCAACAAATTCAAGATAGTCCTCAGCAATAAGTTCCAGGCCTTTCATGATCTACTCAATGGAGAAGGAACTACTATGGAGAGCAACTGGAAGGGGATCAAAGAGGCAATCACTTCAACATGTCATGAGGTCCTGGGTCACAAAAAGCACCATCACAAGGAATGGATCACTGTTGGTACACTGGATAAGGTTCAAGAATGAAGGAACAAGAAGGCAGCAATCAATACCAGTCGAACAAGAGCAGAAAAAGCCAAGGCACAAGCTGAATACTCAGAAGAAAACAAGCAATTGAAAAGGAGCATCAGAACTGACAAACGTAAATATGTGGAAGATTAAGCAACGATGGCGGAAAAGGCTGCAAGAGAAGGAAACATGAGACAACTGAATGACACGACAAAGAAACTCTCTGGAAATCGCCGCAAACCAGAACGACCAGTGAAAAGCAAGGAAGGCGAGGTAATCACCAACATTGAAGAGCAACAAAACAGGTGGGTAGAACACTTCAAAGAACTGTTGAATCGACCAGCTCCACTGAACCCACCCAACATCGAAGCAGCACCCACGGACCTCCCAATCAATGTTGGCCCACCAACAATTGAAGAAATCAGCATGGCCATCAGACAAATCAAGAGTGGCAAAGCAGCAGGACCGGACAACATCCCAGCGGAGGCACTAAAAGCAGACGTAGCGGTAACTGTAAGGATACTCCACATTCTCTTCAATAAGATTTGGGTTGAGGAACATGTACCAAAAGACTGGAAAGAAGGACTCCTGATCAAAATACCGAAGAAAGGCGATCTCAGCAACTGTGATAACTACAGGAGCATCACTCTTCTCTCAATACCGGGAAAAGTCTTCAACAGGGTATTGTTAAACAGGATGAAGGACTGTGGAGACACCCAACTTCGCAACCAACAGGCAGAATTCCGTAAGGAAAGATCGTGTACAGGCCAAATCGCAACTCTACGGATCATTGTGGAACAATCAATTGAATGGAATTCATCACTCTACAACAACTTCATTGACTACGAAAAGGCATTTGATAGCGTGGACAGAACAACACTATGGAAACTTCTTCCACACTACGGCGTGCCTCAGAAGATAGTCAATATCATACAGAGTTCAGATGATGGATTACACTGCAAAATTGTGCATGAAGGACAGTTGACAAAGTCGTTCGAAGTGAAGACCGGTGTTAGGCAAGGTTGCTTACTCTCACCCTTTCTCTTTCTCCTGGTGATCGACTGGATCATGAAGACGTCAACATCTGAAGGGAAGCGCGGGATACAATGGACATCTAAGATGCAGTTGGATGATCTAGACTTCGCAGACGATCTGGCCCTTCTATCCCAAACGCAACAACAGATGCAGGAGAAGACGAACAGTGTGGCAGCAACCTCAGCAGCAGTAGGTCTCAATATACACAAAGGGAAAAGCAAGATTCTCTGATACAACACAGAATGCACCAATCCAATCACAATTGACGGAGAAGATTTGGAAGATGTAAAAACCTTTACGTATTTGGGCAGCATCATTGATGAACAGAGTGGATCTGATGCAGATGTGAAGGCGCGGATCGGCAAAGCAAGAGCAGCATATTTACAACTGAGGAACATCTGGAACTCAAAGCAACTGTCAACCAACACCAAGGTCAGGATTTTCAATACAAATGTCAAGACAGTTCTACTGTATGGGGCAGAAACCTGGAGAACTACGAAAGCCATCATCCAGAAAATACAGGTGTTTATTAACAATTGTTTACGCAAAATACTTCAGATCCATTGGCCGGACACTATTAGCAACAACGTACTGTGGGAGAGAACAAACCAGATCCCAGTGGAGGAAGAAATGAGGAAGAAGCGCTGGAAGTGGATAGGACACACATTGAGGTAAGCACTCGACTGCATCACAAGTCAAGCCCTCACCTGGAATCCTCAAAGCCGAATGAGGGGAGGAGGAAGACCAAAGAACACATTACTCCGAGAAATGGAGACAGGCATGAGAAGAATGAACATGAGTTGTATAGAACTAGAAATGGAGGCTCAGGAAAGAGTGGATTGTGGCATGGTGGTCAGCGGGCTATGCTCCACTGGGAGTAACAGGTGTAAGTAAATAAGTAATCAAAAGAATGAATAAACAAAAAGGCATTAAAATCTGGTAGAATTTCAATAAATTTAGATTACTAAAATGTCGTGATAATTATTATGGATAACATCTTATTAAGACTATGTATGAAATAGATAATTTTACGACAAGTACACAAGCGTGATACCATTAGATTATGGTACAGCATTAACTCATTGTAATTGAGTGAGGAGAATATCTCCTAACTGAAGTTCATTTGATAATTGTAATCTATCTTAGTTGAATTGGCCTAAAGTCGATCACATAAGCAAGGATGTACATATTCTTTAATTTCACTTAAATAATTAAGTTTAGGATTATCACATACTTTTCATTTCCCTTATTCGATCATTTTTTCCGACACTGGATCATGTGTTTTGTGGTCTTATTATCATGGACTGTCTACAGCTAGACAACCTATAAAACAATGATACATTGCACAGATTTCCAGTCTGAGTATGGGACTCCTTGGTAACATGCATCCATGACCACTACAAAGGTCGGACTTAAAAAATTCGAATCTCATAGTAGGTGCGTAACCTCTAGAATAATAAGTCGCAAATGAGTGATCCATATTTCCAACTTCAGTTGGTTAGTTACATGTTGTGAAATTCATCTATTTAAAACAATTAGTCCCTTTGATAAATTTCGATAAGGCAATAAGAAAACAAAGTTTATCAGAATTATGTGGTATATTTGCGCAGTACATTTCGAACAATCTGATCACATATATACTTGTTAAGACGTTTTTATGTGAAAATTAAATGGTCAACTAGATAGGTTGTAAAGGTAAGCCTTCAAAAAGAAAAAATAATAATAAAGTACACAGAATCAATGCGATAACCACTCTAGATAATAAATCAGTATTACCCAGGTAGGTTAAGAGTAAGGACAAATTGGAAACCTGGGAGCAGTGATCCCGCTCACGGGATGCGCACTGTTGAGGAATCCCACAATAGGACGAAACGGCCGTCCAGTACTTCCAGGTTT